GTTTTCTTGTCCTATCCACATCTCTATAAACAACCCTTTATTACATTCTCTTAAATGATTCTGTTGCGTATCCATCCGTTTGAGACCAGGAACCAGAGAAATATAAATATAGATATATTGTGTTGTCGGAAAAGTCATAGTGTACTTTTGTATGTTTTTCTATGCAAAAATGTTTCATGACTTTTCTGATGACTCAATATATACATACACACAGGCACACACATGCATGCATATGCACATGCACACACACATACACATTACTTCTTTTTCAAAACAATAGGAAATATGAAAGTTGAAGTCGCGGCCTTACTCAAAATCAGATAATTAGAAATTGCTATTGGTGGTTTCTTAATCTGCAGTCCATAAATCTGATTGGTTCCCTTTAGGAGAAATGCATATTAATGGAAAAATATGGGGGAGTTCACAGGCCAAAGAGAAGACGAGAGGACTAGACTTGGAACAAGCGGGATTGTGGTGATTCCCAAAGGAAGATGATCACTAGGACATTTATCCCTGAAACAGTTTACCTGGCTGCTGCTCTGAATTGAATGACCTCTGATCATTTCTTCTGTCATGGAATCATTTTGCTAAAGAGCCCAAGACTTCCCAAGTAGCTGTTCAGGAACCAGCTGGTGGCACAGCAGTAACGCAATTCTCCACAATGCTAGACTCACACGAGAATGTCCTGGGTTTACATCCTCAGGTTCCCCGTATACATCAGTTGTACGCATGAGTCTGGAACCCCAGTAGACCGAGACGGGTGGATTGCAATATGTTGTGTGGTTGTGTGTGCCTTTCTCTCTCTCTCTCTTTCTCTTTCTCTTTCTCACTGTCTCTGTCCCTCATGGGAAAAATAAGTAAATGAATGAAAAAAAAAAAAAAAAGAAGAGACTGCCCAATTAGTATCAGGACTACGTGTCACCCATGATAGTTAACTCTATGTATCAACCTGGTTAGACTACCATAGCTAGTTTGGTCAAACACAGAAGCAGAGAAGAATGCAGGCAAGTGAAAAGAGAGCAAACAGAATTTCTCACTACCTTTGTTCATCCCTCCCAAACCTCTAGCTGATTGGATTGTGTCCTGTCCCCACTAGGCCCTGTCTCTTAAAGTTCTCACCACCTCCCAAAGCTGTTGTACTAGAAACCAAGTGTCCAGAACATGAACCTGTGGGGGACAAACCATTATCAAAACTGTAATACCCTATCCACCTAAAATTAGCAGATGGGTAAGATATGCTCTTTTATCTTATTAAAACTGCTTTCTCTGGTAGCTCCCATGTAAGAATCAATGTCCATGGGAATTTATTCCCAGTTTTAAATTTATAATCGACTCTTACAGGGAAAACTTTTCTGAATTTCTTAAACCACTCACTCAAATAAAACCACAGAAAACTCCACAACATCCAACATCCCAAAGCTCAGTTTACCTTGTAATTACTTGTACCTGAGTTTACTTTCTTACCTAGATTGTGAGCTCATTAAGGGTAAAACTGTTTTCTAGTGACCTCGAGGTTCCTGGACTAATGCTTGGTATGTAGAAGTTTCCTTATAAATGTCTGATGGTAGAAGAAGGAAGCAGGGATAGAGTAAAACTTCTAATTCCCACTTTATTTTAATAAAGTATTGATCTCCTATACTATGTATCAGGAAAGGAAACTAGTTTATTTATTGTTAGAGGATGCATGCACTCATCAGAGAGAGAGAGAGAGATAATGAGAGAAGAAGAGGAGAAAGCACCCTCCATGGGGGATGGTCACACCATAATATCTCTCCTTCTTTTCTGGATTTTAGGCGTTCATACAAACACATTTAGCATGTTTTTTAAGTGGCTGGGTCCAGGACTTAGATCACAGGGTTGGCCATGTCGGATCTAGTTTTTTTAACCACCAAACCACAGAGCTAGTCCTTTTTCAGTTTATTTTAGTAAGTTCTACTTTTTTTCTTTCTTTCTTTCCTTTTCTTTTTTTCTTTCTTTCTTCTTTCTTTCTTTTTTTTTTGAAAGGAAGTTTTTGCTATAGGGTGCATGCACTCATTGGAGAGACAGAGAGACAGAAAGCAAGAAATCATCCCCCAGGGTATGGCCATGCCACAGTCTTTACAGTCTTTTCTCCTCCATTCTCCTCTTCAAATCTTCAGCATACACACCTATGCACCTGGTGTGAGTTTAAGTTTCCAAGTTTGGGACTCGAACTGTATTGACTACATGGGAGTCCAGCAACATAACCATTTTGCCATCTACTGGTCCCCATATTGTAGTACTTTCTTTTCAACTCAACAAAATGTATTGCTCATTAACTATGTATCACATTGCCAACTATTTTTAAAAATTATTATTTATTTAATATTATTATTATTATTATTATTATTATTTATTTGCTATAGAGCATGAGCACTCACCAGAGAGAGACATGGGGGCAGGGACGGGAGTAAGAAAGCAAGCTGTCAGGTCCCTATGGGAGTCGAGCACCTTAACCACCACACCAGCTGCTGGCCCCTCATTGTCCACTGTTATTAACTATGTGTGCTAAAAAGAGCCACAAAACATTGGGGAGGAAAAAAAACAAGAACTCCCCATATAAATACTATAAGATAGCAGAGGTGTTCTAGGGGTGTGTGTGGGGAGGCATGGGTTATAGATATCTTTAACTAAGAGGCCATATTAAACCTAGATATTGAAAGATGAATGGATTTCTCCACATGGAGACATGGGAGAAAGGCATGCTTGACAAATGAAACACTGTGGACAAAGACATGCAAATAAAAGTTTGAATGTTTTGTGAAATTTTGATAATGGTAATAACAATGGCCAATATCTAGCTATGGCCAGGCATTATGCTAACTGCTCGTGTGAACAATATCAAATATCAAAGTTTCTTAAGTAGAAATTATTGTAATCATTATTATCGTCATAATTTCCAATTTATATCTGAGGAAATCAGAGTTGAGTTAAAGTTAAATAACGTGCCCAAATGCATAGAACAAGTAGGCAGTGGAGTTTGGATTTGCACCTTTACAGACACAAAACCCCACTCTGAGCCAGTACAGTCTAATGCAGATGTGTTAAGTAAGTTTGATTCTTCTGTGTGTATTACTATTAGAAACAGAGAAAGTCAGGTGCCAGCTTCTCTCTCTTTAAATATCCCAGAAGAACCCACTTGTGCTAAATATGAGCAAGTTATTTAGAAATTTCTGGAGACTTCATAAAGAAAACATGGAGAGGCTCTACATTATATATGTTATAGAAAGTGACTTCAAAACCTTCTTCCTACTGACTCGTCTTGAAAAGCCCCTTTGCCTATCATCACTGTCCATCAACCTTTCTCTCTTACTCTCTCTGACTCTTGCTGTTCTTTTATTTAGACCAAATTTGCATGCCCCACTCATCTGTGTGCTCAGTAAAACAAACAACAAAAACTAAAAACAAAACTCTAAAATTAACTGTACCTACCTTCTTCAGAAGGCAGTTCACTAATTTGAGGACTGGATTCCATATTACATGCAGCATATTGAAGCAATTTTTAAAACCGTATACAAACTCTTTCCCCAAATTTCTATAAATATCTTTATTTCATTACATAAAACATGTTTAGTACAGTTAAATGGACAAAGAGATTGGAAGTTGTGAAAATTTATCCTTTCATTTGTTGATTTTTGTCTCCCATCTGATGGGATATGCATTGATTTAGAGGCATAATCTGTCAGAAAGCATCTCCAGTAATAAATTATTTAATGGTTGTCCTGTTCCAAAATAGTACTATTAAAGGAGAACCACCAATGCATTTGCTTTACATAATTAAAGCTTGCAAGGTGAGATAATAAGTGTCAGTAATTAAAGTAAATTGAGACTTTTTCCTCAGAGGAGGAGAGCTTTCCTCATACTTTTCGGAACATGTTAATCCCACTTACGCTATTCCCCACTTCAAAGACTTGGGTCCTTGTTATGACATTCTCAGAGAGAGAGGGAGAGAGGAGGAGGGGAGAGCTGCCTGCTGCTCATTCCCCACTCTCAGCTCTCCTTTATTGCTGTGCTACAGGGAGTCACTAGAGACCAACTCACACCCCTCCTGTCTTGAGAAAGGCTGTTTCTATGGTTTTTCAGGCATTCATTAAGAGGTGATTTTTTTTTCCTTTCCAAAATTACTTTATCCCTATCAATATAATACTTTCATGCATTTGAAGATGACAATCAACCAAGTGATTCCCCAATGTGAGTAAATAATTTTACGTGGGTAAAAACCACAAGAGTACAAGCGTTCACTCTCCCTGACTTTTCTTTTCTTTTCTTTTTTTTTTTTTTGGGAGAGATTTTTTACTACAGGGTGCGTGTGCTTGCTGGAGAGATGGAGAGACAGACTTCATTTATATTAAATTTTCTTTTTTTTTTTTTTTTTTTTTTTTGGAGAGGTTTTCGCTATAGGGCGTGTGCGCTTGCCAGACAGACAGAGACATAGAGACAGAAAGCGAGAAATCACCCCCCGGGGGGATGGTCACGCCGCAATCCCTTCTCCTCCATTCTCCTCTCGGAATCTTGGGCACGCACGCACACGCGCCTGGCGTGAGATTTAAGCCACCGGGTCCGAGACGCGAACCGCGGTCGATTACGTGGGAGTCCAGCGACATAGCCATTACGCTAACTGCTGGTTCCCTTAAATTTTGAAGGGATCTTTTAGAGAAAATTCACCTCAAATATATAAATTCCTTTATTCAAAAAAGAAATGGTAAGCAAGAAAATTAGAGAAGTAATATACACACACATTCAGACACATACACACATAGACATAGTAGCTGAAGTAAAACTTACAACGCAGACCAGCAAGTTACACAAGGTCAGCAGAATGGTTGCTAACACTTAAAGGGGAAGTATACTATACTGTGTATGCCAAATTTAGGCTAGTTCCCTAACTCACAACACCATCTAATGCCCAGCATTCCTGGAAAGGTGATATTAGCTGTTTTACACAAAGAGGGGCTGGAATTCAACAAGATTAAGTGGCTTACCTGTCATTTCTTATCTAAGTATTTCCGGAGGCCAGCCAGGGAAGTGCAGCACTGGAACAATCCTCAACAAGGCTAAGCCCATGTGGGTAGATGCTGGTTCAGGTTCCAAAGTTTTCCTGTGCACGCTGGGCATGCGTGTGTCAGTTTGGACCCTGGCTGGCTGAGGCTGGTGGTGGGACTGTGGCATGAAGACTGTGTTTGAGTTTCTTGTTGCTTTTCCTTTATGACCCCTTCTCGTGGAATTATACATAAATAAACTTTAAATAAATAAATCAATATTTTGGCTAGATCAGAAATAAAATGAAAATTCTGATGGTCTAAAAATACTTATTTTATCTGGGTTTAGCAAACTCAGCAAATAATATATATGCTAAACTGTTAATCTAAAGCCATGTGAATTTCAAGGGAAAGTAAATCTGATTCTGATTTGGTTAAACATTACTCATTGAAATATTATTTGGTAGAAAATGCTTGGTGTCCAGAAACCTTATGAACCATTTTTATCATCATTTTTATTTGATCCAGGAAGTTGACTTCCATGAGTAGTAAATAAATTTATATCTCAAAAGATGAAACCATGAAGTCTATCTATATGCTTATTACAATTTATACCACCAGTATTTGATTTGATAAACCTTATAATAAAAGCACTTTCAATAGAGGAGTAAAAAATAAAGGTTAAAAACTAAGATTTGAAAAAAGATGAAGATGAAAGATAAAAGGAATTATGTCGGAGAAAAGCAAAATATATTAAATTTGTTCTAAGTTCCCTGACCATGAAGGCAAAGGGTGCACATACTGGTTTTACCTGGAAGCAAAGCCTGACATGACATTTTGTTTTACCATCCTCCTGGATAGTTCCATACCACTGTATGAAGCAACGACTAGGCAAAGAGACCAACTGGGAACACACTCTAGAGCAATACTTCCCCAAATAAGTGAAAAGTTGAGCCTTCTTCCAAAGTACTTCCTAATAGGAATAACTATCTATGTCTTTTAGAATCCTGTGAGAAACTTGCTGGATTTTTTTCTCCCAGAATTCCTAAATGAAAACTGAGTAACTTTAGTAATTATGCGGTATTAAAAAAATAAGTACCTATTTAATTTTTTTTGGTTACCCATTTTTTTAAATGCTCATTCTCTTTTCATTTTTTAACAATAAATAACTTCTCTTTAACAATTGCTTCCTTTTTGGGGCCAGCTGTTGGCCTAATGGCTATGTTGCTGGACTACCATGTAGTTGACTGCGGTTTGAGTCCCAGACCCGGTGGCTTAAACTCATGCTGGGCAAGTGTGCGCACGTGCACAAGATCCTGAGAGGAGAATGGAGGAGAAGGGATTGCAGCATGGCCATCCTCCTGGCGGGTGATTTCTTGCTTTTTGTCTCTCTGTTCTCTCTCTGTCTTTCTGGCGAGTGCATGGGCCCTATAGCAAAAACTCCCCCACCCCCGCAAAAAAATTGCTTCTTTTTTCACTAGCTCTACTACTACAAGTTTTAAAATGAAAAGCAACCTTTATTTTGTTTTTAATTGCTAATTTAAAAAGTAATATACCCCACTACAGAAAAGTCAAAAATGCCTACATAAAGTATAGGAAACATTCAAATGAATGAACATAACTCTCATAATTTTATCTGCTTATAGATAACCATTAAAAATATCTTGGTGTGTTTCTCAGGCTTTCTGAGTGTGTGTATAATAATATATAATATATATTATGTATCATAAATTTTTTAAATTTTATTTACTAAAATGGAAACTGAATTGTGGATATTGAGACTAACATAATCTGCAGAAATGCACTCATTTTTCTGGATTAAATATTGGTAGATTTTATTTGCTATGTGATATTCAGGACCTACGACTTAAGGAATTTGATGAATAAATTTTAAATTCATATCTTGATCAGGGGAAATAAAACAATGATTTGGATTAATTATCTGTAGAGCAAAAACAGTTTTTAAAATTAGAGAGATCTGAGATAAGTGGGTTAACCTATTTTGAATTTTTTCTCAACTTTTCTATGGCTTTCACTGAGCTCTCTTTAGCCCCCTGCTCTCTTTCC